TGAGGACTGGGTCAAGATCCTCTCTCTTTGTTCTTGTGGACTTGACAACACAAAGGACAGATGTAGTATCAGTACTGAAAATGGGTATTTTTAGATTGGTGCTGATCAGGCTACTTTTCCAGTGCTCCTCCACTCAGTGGAAATTATTTGTTACTTTTGTTCCTCAGTACTTGTCCTCTGGCAGTGTGTCATCACCCCTTCTAATGTTTCTCCATCTCCACCAAGGATTACTTTTGGCCCATTAATAGCCACAGATTTAATCTTCTCCTCATTGATAAACAAACTAATTTGTTCTGCTGTGTCTGCTAATAGCTGTTTCTAGGAACTAATAACAGCTCTTAGGTGCTATTTTCTTCTTTACCTTCTCAAAAAACATGTGGCTGCTAGTATTTTTACAGGGTTAAAAGAAGCATAGCTGGTTTTTCCGTCTCTATTTATAACCTTGCATATGCTCTTCCCAAAGTGGATGGGAAAGATTTTGGGAGCTTTACTCTGGAGATCATTACATTTGGTTGAGCTTACTTGGGTAGCTGCACTTGTGGAGAGGTTTGAGCCTGCAGAGGCCAGCGGGACTTGAACAAGGTGCAGCCAAACTAATTTGCAAATTCAGTGGTCCCTGGTGAGCTGGGCTTGCCAAAGGTCACCATTTCCCTGTGAGAGGCATTATGTACTCAGGAGGGGTGGCCAGAGGGTTTGAGCCTCAGGAGGCTGTTCTCAGAGCTACAGCACACCTGGGAACCTGCCTTGTTCTCTAAGGAAAGCTACTGGCTCTTTGGAATTGCCAATTGCATCTTCTGCTAGTGAGCTGCATCTCCGGGGCTGTGCCTGTGCTCACAGCCCTCTCTGCTCTTCACAGTCAGCCCAGAGCTGATGGGAACTGATGGGTCAGACCTGGTTGGCTACACTGAGCTTTGGGACACCCCCTGCTGTTTCACAAACCCATCATTTATGCTCTAAGCAGCAGGATAATGTCCCTGGCCTGGAAGAGCCTGGAAAATTGTGAAGTCCACTGTCCAGCAGGAGCATTTTGCTTGAGCCTAGTGGCCAGTGGGGCAATGGGGGTGGCTCACACGGCCACCAGCCAGGCAGCCACCCAGATTAGTTTATGGAAGCAGCTGAGATTACTTGTATTGAAGCGAGCACCCCTCAGCTCTGCTTGCACAGTGCCCCCTCTGAAGCAAGGGTATCTCTCATTGTGTGACAACAGATAAGCCAAAGCCTCACCCTTTGCTGCAGCAGCCCCTTCTCTCCCCAGGGCGACTTACCTTCGCAGGCATCTTTGCGAGTATTCCCAGAATTAATCCCCCTTCTCAGTGCCAGGTTCAGCTCTCTGCCCTTCATCTCACACCCGTGCCACTGCACGTGTGCTTGGACACATCCCTGGGAGCAAAGCAGCTGGAAGCCACATGGAAACAAGCTTGCTCCCACATGGGAGCACCAAGGATGCTGGCCACCCCCAAAGCCTGCTCATGGGAGGGCAGACCAGTCAGGGTAATTGGGGCTGTGCTCCAGCAGGCTGCCGGCACAGCACAGATGAGCACTGGGGCTATTTGCTTCAAAAGCCACTGAATTCACCCTACAGGGAAGAGGAGTCATGTGGTCACTGCTGTGTGAATCCCTGCTGCTCCTCTAGGACAGTGCACACGCAGGCATGGGAAGGGCAGTGGCAGTGACCACAGAGCATCAGAGCAGCATGGGGGATGTGGGTGACATTTTGGGGTCCCTGGGTGCTGAGAACTTGCTTGCCTCCAGCCCTGACCTTTGCTGTCAGTAAGGCTTGCACAAACTTGTAATTGTTAACTAGTTCCCCTGTAGTGGGCTTGTCATTTTTTTCAGGACAGGGTTTGAAAATGCGAGACATCTACAGTAGTAAAGATTTTATTGTGCTGGCAGCGGACTGTAAAACTCAATTACATGACACTGGGGATTGCCTAAACCTTGTTCCCACTGATGCAACTGCTCAGACTTGGGGGGATGTGAGGAAGGGAGGTGGTTTTGAGTCACGTCTGGAGGTGCTTTAGCATGAAGGCTCCCACCCTTCAGACAAGTGAGCCCAATGTGGACATGAGGATCTGTGGGGATCACAGGAGCCATGTAGCTGAAACAATGGATGAGTGCTTGGCCCATCACTGCCTAATGACATGAAAATCTTGGGGAAGCCCAGCCTGGAAGGAGTAAGTGGAGATTTTTCTGTAGAAAAAGCTTTTCCATGTAGAAATAGGCTCCCCTGTTGGCCCCCTCTCTCAATTCACTGCTGACACGGGACTTTTCCTTCTAAGACAAAACTTTCCACAGTTTGTATCCGTTTTATATCCATTTATATGACTGCTAGCATTTTTCATATTCCAGAGGACCATTTATGGTAAGAAAATACGTTTTCCAATAAATAATCAAAGTGATCATATTTTGGAAGGGGAAAAAGATTGTAGTAGGAAACTTTGGAAAAAAAATTTGGCTTGTGCTGAACATCGAGCCAGCATGATATCTTTTTTCCTTCCAATAAATCTTCTGGCTTATTTCTGTACCCAAACTACTGTGAGCCAAGAGGAATTCCTGAATGCTCGGGTACAGTCAGCCCTTCCCCTGCTGCAGCATGCTGCCGGAATGCCACGAGCTTTTTGAAGCTACCTCCAGGATATGGTTAGCCAAGAGTAAGAGAAGCATGATGCTAAGAACATGGCACTTTCAAAGAAAAAAAGAAAGCAGCTTCTTTTATGACATCAGTGGTGCAACCTCAGGGAAGGGGAGAGTCCAACAGGGAAGATGCCTAGAAGGGATAGTGGATGGAGGAGTCTCCTTACAAAGTCCCTCTGTCATTAAAATTTGAGTTCAGGTGAGCTCAGGTAACATTCAAAAGTGCAAGCAGGAAAGCCCTAAATGGCAAATCTCAGTGTGATTAACCTGGGGAACAGCCTGCTCAGGAGCCTTTCCAAGGCAATCACTTGACTGAGGTCTGTTGAACCTGGAGCAGTTGAAACTGCAGCCAGCAGTGCCTGATGACTGCAGGAAAATGATTGCCAAGGGGATCTGGAGGGCAATTCTGAGGGTTGTCCTGTCTGTGTGAGATTCCAGTTGCAAGGTCCCTGCTCTGGAGGAAGCATGAGTCAGACAAGTCTTCTGCTCTTGACTCTGGCAACCTACTTCAGTTGGGGTAAAATGCCAGGTTTTATCCTATGCAGCTGCTAATTCCCCACTAAATTACCCAGTAGTAAGAAGGTCTCAGTAGGTGAATTCCCTGAACTCCTATCTTGTTGAAACCTGAGCCCCTCTCCATGGGTATACCACTAGGTCATTCAAGTACATCTAATATCTTTTTTGAGGGGAAGAGAGGCAGAGATAGTGTTACACATTGTGCAGAAATGCTATTAGCTGTAGTTGAGCATCACAACTTGGATTTATTAGCAGGGGGCTGAAAGACCTACATGGCAGGGGATGTAACTGATAACCTTGTCTTGCATCTGTTTGAGCAAATGGGTCCTGTCCCCGTGTGCTCATCAGAGATTTAGCACTTCTCACGAGCTTTTTTGCAATCACAGTCATTTAGCAAACATATGATACTTCACACTCAAAGCCATGACAGGGGCATATGGCACTTCCTACCTCCTAAATGTTGATGGATGGAATTGCTTTGACTATTCAAGGAATCAAAGGCCTGGTTCGAATCTCAAGGCCTTGCACTGATTTTGGTGAACTTCCTTCTGATTTGTCCTGTGTATAGAGAATCAGGGCTTATTCTAAGTTAAACAAGCAAGAGAGTTCAAACAGATAAAATGTCTTCTACTCAGTGGCCCTGAGCACTTGCAGTCTCAAAAGTCAGAGCAATGGGAAGTTTGAAGATGATCTCATCCCTAGCATTTAAAATGTGCCTTTTCAGGCAGGGAAAAAAAAATAAAAGAAGAAAAGAAAAAGAAAGTATACTTTAAGCAGAAAAAAGTACAAGCTCGCTATTGGGGGCAGAAAAGTTGAGCACAAAGATACTCAAAAATAGGATAATATTGTGAAAAAGAACAAGAGCTAGATCTATTGGCAAAATCAGACTCATAAAAGCCAGTGGACCACTGCTGACCCACCATCTATCTGCTTTTAAAAGCAAACTTACCAGCCAGAATGGCGATAATCAGGTATCTTCTGGTTTTCACTGGAATTAACCAGAAATGTTTCTTGGTGGTGAAGACACCATTTTGGAGAAAGCCTCAGAGAGAAGAGCTGAGATATTCAAAGCTCTCAGCTGCACATGGCAGACTGAGCCTTTACTCTGCTTAATCCCATACAGGAATTTGAAGGGACAGGTGAAAGAGGGGTCTTGCCTTTCAGTGGGAGAAGGGGAAAAGGCTTATTTTTTTTTCACAGACACAATTTCAAATGCTCAAACTCTGGTCCTGTGCTGAGCCAAAATGACCACCCAAGGTCTCCTGCAAAATGCAGATGTTATTCCTCCCCCTGCCCAAGCTGTGGACGCGTGTCTCTCGCTGTGCACTGCGTGGCCAGTGAGCCTGAGCACAATAATGTGTTTTCCTTCTCCTAACACCTGACAGTAGCATGATTTCACCAACCACTTGGTCCCACTGCTGCATACTTTCCAAGGTGATATAAATCAAACAGATTAACATGTTTGCTCTTAATTTTACATTTTAGAAGCAGGTGTTGAACCATCTCAATGCCAACAGTGTCTATTGCCAGCATTAGTGTCATTAGTAGTAATTGCAGCTGTAATAGCACCATTATCTCCTGCTAAAAGGGTCACTGATGGCTTAGGACAGAGCTTGGGGAAGCTAAAAGACCAGACTAAATGAGATGGAAACTGCAAACAGTTGCTTCTATCTTAACTTGCATAAAGACCTGTGGATGCTATGCAAAGGGAAATTAATTTGCACAAGTAGCAAAAATTTTGGCTGGACTGTCATCAAGGAGGAGGAGCTTGTGCTAGCTCTTGTGTCACTTGGGCTAACGTAAAGCATATAAATATGGGAAAGAGAGAATGGGGATATTGCTACCCAACCATCTTCATCCCTCGGAGTGAACTTCTCTCCATCGCTTGCTGCCACCTCTTGGGTGAGTTGGATTGCTTCCCTTTTACTTTCTACCTGTTGTGCAACCTGTCTTCTTAAGTTGATGAAGCAGGCAGTGACAATTGTGGCTCGTTGACCTAAGAAAATGAGGCCTCCTCAGGTCTTCGAGGACATTGGGCTGGTTTTGGGCCATCATCACATATTACAGCCCCTTCTGAATGGGCAGAAAGGGTTTTTCCTCTGAAGGGGTCTGCTGATCTTGGCTCTCCAGGACATGTGCACTATAGGGCTTGGTGGGATGGCTCTGCCAACCTTTTGAGGCAAGACAGCAGGGAGCCTGAGACTGCTGGAGCATGGAGATGGACTTATGGTTATAGTCAGTAGTCATTTACTGTCACTTGTAAATCCTGGTGCAGAAAGCTCTCCTTCCTTCTCAAACTAGAAGGTCCATCTCCTACTTTGGTCTCATTTCCTTGCCAGAGGAGCTGAAAGATGCAAGATGCTTGATTACAACCTATTTTTACCTCCTAGACTTTCCTGTGTCACCTCTGCCTCTTAACCCTAGGCCTCAGCCTGCCCACCATGGCTCTCTGGATCCGATCACTGCCTCTCCTGGCCCTCCTGGCCGTCTCCAGCCCCGGGAGCAGCCACGGGGCTGTCAACCAGCACCTCTGCGGCTCCCACTTGGTGGAAGCTCTGTACCTGGTGTGTGGGGAGCGGGGCTTCTTCTACCAACCCAAAGCCCGGCGGGATGTTGAGCAGCCTCTAGGTAAGTCAGGCTGACCATGCAAGAGATGCAGGAACCAGCTACCTCTGACAGTGACACTGGGATGTCCTTCCTGGGGAATGCCAGGAATACCTTTGGCATACCGACAGCATCACATTGCCAGTGAAAAGCTCTGCAGGTTAAAAAGGCAGACGAGAGGGCAGGCAGGGAGAGAGGATTTATGAGGCAAAAGGAGTTGTGCCTGGAAGCTCAAATTAGTTTATTTCTTTGCATGGTTGTTACACCAGCCTGGGAGTATTCATACAAAATAAAGGTGGGAGGAACTCAAGAAGCCTCTTTCTGCCCAAGGCAGGATCAGTTGTCCCCATTCTATTTCTTAGCCATGTTTGTCTTGTAAGTTCATTAAAACCTCCAGAGGGAGAGCTTCCTCTGCCTTCTGGAGCTGCCCATTCCCAAGCCTAACTGACCTTCTTCTTGAGTGCTTCTTCCCAGTAGCTAACCTGAACATCCCTTGCTGTAAATTATTTCTTGTCTTCTCAATAGTGGACACGGGGAAGAGCCTAGTCCTTTAATCTTTATGATTGCTTTTCAAAATATTTCACTACTGTTTCCATGTCTAGTTTTGACCTCTCCTCAGCTACACAACTCCAGTGCCTTCCTAGGTCGTATTTGCTAGATCTCTAAACATGCAAATCTGCATTTGTCCACATCCTTGCTGTCTGGTGAGGCCTGGAGAAGCACATTGAACGTTCTGTCTTCCAAGCTTCTAATCAAGACTGTGAATAGATGAAGAAAAGACCCCTGTCCAAATTGCATCCATTTCAATCCTCTCGGTTCAAGATTGACCTTCTCTTAACATCCCCTGACTACGATACATCTCTCCCACCATCTGTCTTCCCATCTCATACTGTTTTCATTCATATCCAATCCCTCTCTTGTGTATGTAACCATCCTGTGAAATAGTCTTTGTAAGGTGAAACAAGATAATGCCCTAGCAGAGGCTTTGCCCATGGATTGTTTGGGATGTCATTTGCCCATTCTCTGATTATTGTTTTCTGGAGACCACCACAAATGGATTGGAGGTTTCGTTCACCAAACTACCTAAATACTCTACAGAGAATTTTAATTGTGCCAACAAGAATGCAAGTATTTGAGGATTTTCTACCTTTTTTTTTCAGGACTTTTGCCTGAGCCACCACCTCTTTGTCACACAATCTGGTTATGTTTACAATCTGCTCACAGCTGGCTTGAAGGATGAAGACAAGTAAATCACAAAAATTTGACTAGCTATTTCCTCTTCTACTTAACATTGGACCAAATTTTCCCCAAATTTGCCTTCTAGCACACTAGCATAATGATTTTGTGTTACTCTTGTGCCTTATTCATTGCCTCATGCTTTGGGGGCTTGGGAATTTTGCATCTTCTACTGTTCTTGTATTGCCCTAGAAACCACATCTCATTCTCACTTTCCAGGCATTTTCTCTTTGCTGTTAAGGGCACCTTTCTTCCTGCAGGAAAAACTCACTGATTTATTTGCCATTTTCCATGTTTTCATTGGGCTACTAAAACCTGAGCAGATCTGTGCACAAATTTTCAAGTTCTCACCAACAAATAATCATTCTGTTGAGTGTTATCTGTGTCCAAATACCCTGATTTATCATTGCTTCTAAAAACTTGCCCCCAGCTGTGAACACAGACACACACAAAGGCTTTTGCTGTCAGCTTGGGGCTATTTTCAGGCAGCCAACTGAATCAGGCTGTTCAGGAACAGCTGGGAAATGCACCCAGCCTCAGAACTGGACTGTCCCTGCAATCCTGTGAACATCCCAGTTGTCTGCCCAGGCTCCCAGGAGAGTGGGTGACTGCCTAAAGGGCTCTTTAGTCCCAAACTCTTCTCTATAGAGCAGACAATCCCATTTTTACATCTCATTTACTAGTTGCTCACCCCAGGGAAGGCTCAGGATTTCTCTTCTTCTCCACACAGCTTCCCCAGTAAAGCCCCTGTATCCCTCTATGCCTCACACTGCCGATAGTCACTCAGCTTGGCATCTTCTGAACACCACAGGATTATTTTGGGAGAGAAAACAGGGAGCCTGAAGGTGCTGCAAGCAGCATCAACCTGGGGAAACCTGTGCAATTTCCTTCCCATTTTCCAGCCAACTTTGGATTACAAATCTGGTACCTGCTAAGGGGGTGTCTGAAGGGCTCAAGAGCCAGGGTTGATTTGATGCTGTGTGATGTGCCACAACTTCCCTTCTTCTCCCCTGGCAGTGAGCGGTCCCTTGCATGGTGAGCTGGGAGAGCTGCCCTTCCAGCAGGAGGAGTTTGAGAAGGTGAAGCGAGGGATCGTTGAGCAATGCTGCCACAACACCTGCTCCCTCTACCAGCTGGAAAACTACTGCAACTAGCAGCAGGGCTGGCGCTGGGGAGCTCATGGGCCGCGGACAGAAACATGCACTTATGCTACTGCACCTTCAAAGCAATTGAATAAATGTTGTGGATCTATTGGAAGGACTGTGCTGGTTTATGTGTCCACATCTTTTTGTCTGCTTTAGAGTGTCAGTGTCCATGCTTGGGTAAAGCACTTTTCAGTCATCATTTCACGTTGTCTTTCTGCCACGCAAATGAACTCCATGGGAGCAAGGGAGGGGAAGGGCATTACACAGCTTTGGAGCAGGTATATGGAGCATCCGGCACACCCAGTGCTTGGAAAACCAGAAGGAGAAGGCGGAGAGGTTTGAACAAGACTTCTCTTGCTAGGGAAACATTACATCTGTAACAATGTCATGCTGATCAACTTCCTGCAGTTCACAGCCCAAATATAGCCAGGCAGCTGGAGACTGAACTTCCTCAGCTACATAATGGAAACAGTAAAGATTAGGCAAAGAATTATGTCACCTATTCACTGTACTCAGGAAAATCATGGATGACCACCATGGCCAATTCAGAAAGTGTGTCTAGTTCTTACTTGTGCTTGTGGGAAGCCCAGGGAGGGTGTCTGCTGTGGGATGTGCTTGTTCACAAGGATATCACAAGCCATGTACTGAAAGTAGATTTAATCCAAGAAGCAGTTTTGAATCTATTGGTCACGTGCTGGTCCTTGCAAGCAAGCAGTATCCTTGCTCCTGGTGCTGCAAACCTCTTTCAAGCATCTGGTCCCAAAATTGCCCCTTTCTGTGAGGAATATCTGCCCAGCAGTGCCAGTTGGCCAGAGTGTCCCAGAGAGAAGGGAAGGGCTGTGTTCCCTCTGCCAAGGGACTCCCGTGGCAGTCTACTGAAAGCCATGCAGAGGGGTTCTGTGGGATGGGCTCAGCCTGGCAGAGGTGACAGCAGCAGCCAGGGCTGCATTTTGCTGGTGACAGACTTTGAAAGTTGGTCTGAGCGGAGCCTGTGGTTTTAACAGCCTCATTTCCCAAACCAGTTCCAACTGCCTCCAGTGGAGCTGCACAGATGGAAGCTGCCATCTCATGTCTGCCAGGATGCATTACTCCCAATCGTATCACAAACACAAAACTGGCCAAACCACTACAAACTGAAAGGCTGGAAGAGCAGCTGGATGAGCTGCTGAGAAGATACAGACATAAAAAATGGAAGCAGAAAGCACTCATGATTCCCCGTGGTGACTTCCCATACAAATTCCCTTGATGCAGCCAAAAGCCCAAGAGAGGGGCCTCCTCCTGCAGGTGCCACACCAGTGCTGCAGTGCTACTCAGCCAGTCCTGCTCTCCCTGACCACCTTTTCATCCCTCTCCCTTATCCTTTCTGTTGGGCCCCACTGAATATTCCCAGCAGCTTTCAACTCTGACAAGCAGCTTCAGGCCAAAATCATGTGGTTATGAAAGCACAGCAAGATAGATTCTGTTTCTGAGCTACTTTGGCTCCCACCAAATCTCACGGTGTAGGTTTCTAGAGAGGACTCCCTAGAAGCAATTCACCTACCTGTCCTGGT